ATTTAGACGATGAGTGGGACCACTGACGTTTTGTTTGACCCCAAAGGAGTTTAATAAATCTGTAAACGCAGCCCCTAACGCATCATTTGTATTATCTACGTGTATGTTAAAATCTCCAGCAATTATTGCTTTATCGACATTTACCAATAGATCCGAGAGAAAGTCTGCGAACTCTTTTAGGAATTCAGCATATGGCCCTGGAGGTCTATATACAGTAGCCAGGGCTAGAGATAATATAGATTTCCTTCTTACATCTAAGAGCGTAACATTTAGCACAAGTACTTCAAATGAATTAAACCTGTGACCTGTTTTCTGAGTAATATTAAAAATATCTTTATAGATTGTTGCAACACCGCCGCCACGACCGATCAGACGAGGCTCATGTTTATAACAGTATCCTGGCGGAGTAGATTCGTTTAGACCGAAATACTCATTTGGTTTAAGCCAGGTTTCAGTAAGGCACAGAACATCGAAGTTATTGTCTGTGACCATTTCATTTACAATAACCGCCTTAGGTGTGAGCGATCTAATGTTTAGGAGACCTAGCTTTAGAAATTGTTTTTGTTGACTGATATTTAGATTTTCTGGTTTAATTACAATAAGATTTTTGCTAGATCCTACACTAGATTTATTGTTTGGCTTCACTAAACGAGGAATAGACACAGTTTCTATATAATGTTCCACACTATGCTTATTAGTTAAGTTTGGACCGCAAAGGCTGTAATTTGGACTTTGACTCATTAGTCATCTGGTGCGTAATGTCTTGGAAATGTTGTCCGACAGCACAGCCGCTCCGATTCGGCTGGGATGGAGACCATCTGTGCTGTACAGCCTCGGTCTTTCCCAAAACAGATGCCAGTTATTTACAAAGTGCAGCCTCTGTTCATTACACAATGACATTAACCATTCATTTAATGCAAAAAGTCTACTGAACCTTTCCTGTCCTTGTCTGTACGTGGGAAGCGGTCCAGACACGATGATCGCTGCTTTAGGCGCTGTGCTGCGTACCGTCTCGATCAGGCTCCTATAGTCCTTCTTCAGAACCTCCGTCTGCCGCAGCCTAATGTCGTTCGCTCCCGCGTGCAGCACAACAGCTCCGACGCGCTCGTCCCCGTTCAGGATCTCGGGAACCTGTGCAGCAACATCAAGAACACGAGCACCAGGAAAGCAGTGAGTGCGCACTTTACCTTTATCCGAATTAGCGCGGACATGGCGGACTATGGATGTGCCGATGATCACGGCGTCATCGCGTTCCGGCTCGCGAAGAGGGGAGAAGCGGTTCCGGGTGGAGATCTCGAAGACCGGGAGGGGCGGAGAGGCAGCTCTGGTCCTGGCTCGTGTCTTCCGCTGTGTGATCCATGGTCCATGTTGTTTCGGTGCCGGAGTGAATAAAGCCTGAGATGGTCGCATCTTCCTCGGCAGAGTAACGTACGGCGTAGATGAACTCGGAGTCACCAAATGAACATTTGGATATATTTTGGAAAGTCTACATTTTGTGTAATAAGCACGGTGGAGGACTTTAAAGCTGTATTAGGCTGAGACGTGCACAAGAGGTTGATCCATTTACTCTATTGAGAGCCTCCTCCCAAACTTCATCGGGTATTTCACTACCTATGTCCTTTACCCACTCACCCCTTATTCTGTCAATTAAAACATCATTTGAGGACATAACCGTGTTATATATTGTTGCAATTTCCCCTTTAAGAGGAGACAGTAGAATTGTATCCAATAGTGAAGTAGGTGACAAGTAAGGAAAAGTTGAGCTCTGGGATTGAACAAAATGTCTTACTTGAAGGTAACGAAATAGGCTGGACTGTGACAATTGGAATTTCTCTGAGAGGTCCTTAAAACTAGCAAAAGTGTTGTTTATGTAAAAATCTCTACACCTGGCCAAGCCTACCCTCTGCCATTGTGCATACGTGAAGTCTATTTTACCAGCAGGAAACAAATGATTATCACAGAGAGGGCTTAGCATAGAAGAGTTTCTGAGTTTATGCCTTTGTCTAAACTGTGACCATATTTTAAGCGTAGAACATACTACTGGGCTTGAAGAAAATATAGAGGGAGAGAATGGTGGCTTCGTTGTTATTAGAGCAGAAAGTATTTGCCTCCGCCTTACACCAATCAACCTCAGGGGAAGTATACCAATAAATAATTTTTTGAAGATTTGCAGCCCAATAGTAGCCCATTAAATTAGGAAGAGCTAAACCTCCCTGGGACCTTTGGGACCCCACAAGAATGATAATATGGGTTTATTTACTGAATGGAAAAATGTTTTTGGGAGAAAAACTGGAAGTGACCAAAATAAGTATAAGAATCTAGGTAAGATATTCATTTTTATACAATTTACTCTGCTTGCTAGAGACAAATGTAATGCATCCCATCTCTGAAGATCAGATTTAATATTACTTATGAGTGGTAAAAATTTTTTTGCATATAAACCTGAGAAAGTACGAGTAATATGAACTCCCAAATATTTAAAACCAGATTGAGAGATGCGAAATGGGAGCGATGTAGCCTTAATTTGCAAAGCAAGAGGGTTAATAAGGAAACATTCACTTTTAGAAAGGTTAAGTTTGTATCCTGAAAAACTGCCAAAAACAGATAGCTTCTGCACTATTTTTGGGACGTTTTCAACTGGGTTTGAAATGTATAATAAGAGGTCATCCGCATATAAAGAAACCCTGTGTTCCCTCCCCATTCGGTCAATGCCCTGTATAGACTGCAAGGATTTAAGCATAATGGAAAGTGGCTCTATCGCTAATGCAAAAAGAAGAGGGCTTAAAGGACAACCCTGTCTTGTGCCCCTTGATATTGGAAAAAACTGTGAACGTATTTTGTTTGTTATAACAGATACTTTAGGGTTAGAATACAACAATTGGACCCAGGATATAAATTTTGGGCCAAAACCAAATTTTTCCAATACTGCAAATAGGTAGCTCCACTCCACTCTATCAAATGCCTTCTCTGCATCCAGGGATACCACCACCTCTGGGGCCTCCCTGGATGTTGGTAAATGAATGGCGACCCCTAATAAAGCCTGTCTGATCTGGGGATATTTTTTCTGGTATAACAGTATCTATTCTAGAGGCCAGCAATTTGGCAATAATTTTAACATCAACATTTAGCAATGAGATTGGCCTGTAGGAATTGCACTCTAGTGGATCTTTTCCAGGCTTCAGAATGAGTGTAAGAAATGCTTCTGTGAGAGACTGTGGCAGCTCTGTATTGTTCAAAGAATACTCAAACATTTTCAGGAGGAGCGGGGCCAATTTGGGGGCAAACGCTTTATAGAATTCTACAGGGTAACCGTCGGGGCCAGGGGTTTTGCCATTTTGCATTGCATTAATAGAATCTAAAATCTCTTGCAGCTCAATTGGCTGTTCTAATCTCTCTTTGTGATCTGGATTAATTGTCTGGATATTCAGGTCATTCAAAAAGGTTGCCATACCTGATTTATCCCCACAAAATTCTGAAGTATATAAGTTTGAATAAAACTTCTTAAAAGTTTCATTAATTTCTTTAGGATCCACTGTCAATTGTTGTGATGCGTTGTGAATCTGTGGAATTAACCTGGAAGCTGATTGACACTTTATCTGATGTGATAATAAACGGCCTGCTTTTTCCCCATGTTCATAAAAATTCCCTTTAGACCAAAGCAGATTTTGTTGAGTTTTTTCTATTGATATCTGATCGTATTGTGCTTTAATTTCCACTCTCTTTTTAAGAAGTTCTTCAGAAGGGGATAGAGAGAGTTGTTGATCTAATTTTCCTATCGAATCAATTAATTGTTGTAGTTTTGCATTTTTCTTTTTATAAATGGATACAGAATAAGATATAATTTCACCTCTGATGACAACTTTTAGTGTCTCCCATAAAATCAGTGGTGATACCATTTCTGAAACATTTGTGAGCAAAAAGGTATCTATCACCACTGATGTATGTCTGTGGAAATTTTTATCTGCTAACAGGATAGAGTTTAATCGCCAAGCAGGGCGCTGGGTACAATGCTGACTAAAACGTAGATCAAGAAGTAATGGTGCATGATCTGATATTATAATTGGTGAATATTGAGTATTTTCCACTGAGAGGAGTAGTGTCTTATCTATAAAAAATAATCGATTCTTGAGTATGAAGAATGGATGGGAAAATAAGAGAATTCCTTCTTTTGTGGGAATAAAAATCTCCATGGATCCAGATAGCCCTTTGTGCCATGAAAGTAGAAAGAGCTTGGGACATTTTAGACTGAAACATGGTTTTCGGATTTGAACGATCTAGGATTGGGTTAATAACACAATTCAGATCCCCACCAAAAATTAATCGGTGTGTGTTTAAATTGGGTAAAAGTGAAATAATTTTATCAGAGCAACAGGGGTGTGAAACAAATGACCTGTCGCAATAACAAAACGTCCCTGGGGGTCTGAAACACATTTGGAAGTATAAAACTGTACTTTCTTATGAATTAGAATTGCTGCTCCTCTTGCTTTACTGTTAAAGTGGGAATGAAAGACTTGACCAATCCAGGGTTTTTTGAGTCTCGTATGATCTGCTATCTTTAAATGCGTTTCTTGCAAAAATGCTATTTCCGTATTAATTTTTTTAAGATGAGCAAAGATACGAGCTCTTTTATTTGGCCTATTCAAACCTTTAACGTTCCAGCTAGTGAACCGAATGATAGACCCTCTAGTACTATTTTAATCACACATTAATCAATCATTAGGTTATAAAAGAGTGATGAATATGATGACCACGTCTCCAGTGCATGACAAACGAGGAAAGAGAATGGCAAAAAAAAAACAAAAAAAAAAAAAACCGTGTTTGTGTTGTAATATTCACACACATCAGTAGCTGACACTAATGTTCCCATAGTGTCAGCTACTGATGCAGCTTCTCATTCCAACATTTATTACTGTGCACACAAGTTTATGGGTATGTGGATGAATTGAAATGATTATGAATACATGCAGCTGTTTAGTTTTGTTTCTTGTCTCTTATTGCAGGGACTTTGCATATGTGGCTCGAGACAAGTTGACTCATGTGCTCAAGTGTCATGTATTTCGGTGTGACACCCCTGCAAAAAACATTGCCACAAGCATGCATGACATCTGCTCTAAGGTAAGGACATATGAGCTGCTGGCTGAAAATATTCATACTCTTGTTCTTATTTAAACATTGAAGATGTCGTTCGCTGCATTGTGCAAAATATCCGAGATTTATTGAAACAACAGCGGTTCAGGTATTTTTGAGCAGGGGATAATAATTGGAGTGGTTACTCATGCAATGTAGATGAGAACCTAACTTTCGCAAACTAACAGGAAAATAAATGTGTGCCCACTAGCAGAATACTTGTAGTAAATTAATAATATAACAATGACCGGTAGTCTACAGCCGAGTGTTTTTCCTCCTCTAGGTGGAAACATGTCATATGGCTTCATCATGTTTCTGAAATATTTTAGTTTTATTATACAAAGCTTACAAATAGTGTGGCTCTTGTCCAGCTCCTTTCTCCCTTCAACTTCATAGAACCCAAAATATTTCCACACATCAGCTTTAAAGGATTAGTTCACTTTTGAAAAAACTTTTGCTGATAATTTACTCACCCCCATGTCATCCAAGATGTCCATGTCTTTCTTTTTTCAGTCGAAAAGAAATTAAGGTTTTTGACGAAAACATTCCAGGATTTTTCTCCATATAATGGACTTCAATGGGAACCAGACAGTCTAAGGTCCAAAAGACAGTTAATAACAGTTTCAGATGCAGCTTCAAATGTCTTTAAACGACACCAGACGATGAATAAGGGTCTTATCGTGCGAAACGATCGGTTATTTCAAAACTTATTCCAAAAATGTAACTTTTCTAAGGACAAATGCTAGCCTTGCTCTATTCTGTGAGCCACGTTTGTAACGTCACGTAATACGTAATTACGTTCAACAGGTCACGGGCGACGTAGCCGGAAAGCTTACAAAAAGTCAGTTCCATCTTTACTTAGAATCCATGGCAACGCTCGGTTTTCCATGCCAACTGTGTGTTATACTTGGCGCGGTCTGTAAGAAATAAAACAGACCGCATTCTACATTAGAATTCCACAAAACAATCAATGTAATAAAAACAAATAATTACCGAGCTAACAGAGCTACGTAAACCGAGCGAACATGAGACCCAACTGCAGATTTCAATAATGAAGCGAATGGAATAATCTCCCGATCAAACTCCGCTTCCCGAAAGTTATAAACTGCCTCCGGAACCCAGTTAAGGTACAAACATCTATTCAACAAAAATAGTGATGCAGTTAAGTGTTTTTTCGCTCAGCCGAGCCCTCTCTGTTGCTGTGTGGAGCAGCCTGTGTCTGTCACCTCTTCCTGAACGGCACTCACACACTGGTCTCATGAGGAAACGCAACTTTTTTTAATATAAAGTTGTTCTTATTTCCTAATACATATATTCGTTCAAAATAAGTATTCGTAAAAAAACACATTATTTGTGCCTTTCCAAATACCGTATTCGGGTTCGGCTCCACCCTGAACATCATATTTTTGACATTATTGGTAGGCTACAGCTTTCAATCGTAAATCGTAAGGCAATAGAAACTAGAAAAAAAAGTTTGATGACAAACTTTAAGTTGGCTTGAGAAAGCCGGACCAGAGCGTTTGAAGTTTTGAAGTTTGAATGAAGTTTTAAAGATAGATTAGAAAGAAAGATAGAAAGAAAGAAAGATGGATAGATTAGTTAGAAAGATAGATTAGTTAGAAAGAAATATAGATAGATAGATAGATAGATAGATAGATAGATAGATAGATAGATAGATAGATAGATAGATAGATGTTTTTGGCAAGAAGCTAACATGATTAGCATGTAGCTAGCTTGATGCTAATTTGATTAGCATGTAGTTAAGATGATTAGCATGTTGTTAGCATGATTAGCATGTAGCTAGCATCATAATAGCATGATTAGCATGTTGCTAGCATCATGCTAACGTGTTTTTATCAAGAAGCTAGCATGACTAGCATGTAGCTAGCATCTTGCTAACATGATTAGCATGTTGCTAGCATCATGCTAGCATGTTTTAGCAAGAAGCTAGAATGATTAGCATGTAGCTAGCATCATGCTAGCATGATTAGCATGTTGCTAGCATCATGTTAGCATGTTTTCAGCAAGAAGCTAGCATGATTAGCATGTAGCTAACATCATGCTACCATGATTAGCATGTAGCTAGCATCATAATAACATTATTAGCATGTTGTTAGCATCATGCTAACATGTTTTTAGCAAGAAGCTAACATCATTAGCATGTAGCTAGCATCAAGCTAGCATGATTAGCATGTTTTTTAGCAAGAAGCTAGCATGACTAGCATGTAGCTAACATCATAATAGCATGATTAGCATGTTGCTAGCATCATGCTAGCATGTTTTTAGCAAGAAGCTAGCATGATTAACATGTAGCTAACATCATAATAGCATGATTAGCATGTTGCTAGCATCATGCTAACATGTTTTTAGGAAGAAGCTAGCATGATTAGCATGTAGCTAGCATCATGCTAGCATGATTAGCATGTTGCTAGCAAGAAGCTAGCATGATTAACATGTAGCTAGCATCATGCTAGCATGATTAGCATGTAGCTAGCATCATAATAACATGATTAGCATGTTGCTAGCATCATGCTAGCATGTTTTTAACAAGAAGCTAGCAGGATTAGCATGTAGCTAGCATCATGTTAGCATGATTAGCATGTAGCTAGCATCATAATAACATGATTAGCATGTTGCTAGCATCATGCTAGCATGTTTTTAGCAAGAAGCTAGCATGTTTAGCATGTAGCTAGCATCATGCTAGCATGATTAGCATGTAGCTAGCATCATGCTAGCATGTTTTTAACAAGAAGCTAACATGATTAGCGGAAAGCTAGCATGATTAGCATGTTATTAGCATCAAGAAAGAACGAAAGAGAAAGAAAGAATTTTTAGAAAGAAAGATGCATAGATTAGTTAGAAAGAAAGATGGATAGATTTGTTAGAAAAAAGAAAGAAAGAAAGAAAGAAAGAAAGAAAGAAAGAAAGAAAGAAAGAAAGAAAGAAAGAAAGAGAAAGAAAGTATTGTTAGAAAGAAAGATGGATAGATTTACTTGGGTAGAAAGAAAGAACGATAGATTTGTTAGAAAGAAAGATGGATAGATTAGTTAGAAAGAAAGATGGATAGATTTGTTAGAAAGAAAGATGGATAGATTTGTTAGAAAGAAAGATGGATAGATTAGTTAGAAAGAAAGATGGATAGATTTGTTAGAAAGAAAGATGGATAGATTAGTTAGAAAGAAAGATGGATAGATTAGTTAGAAAGAAAGATGGATAGATTTGTTAGAAAGAAAGATGGATAGATTAGTAAGAAAGAAAGATGGATAGATTAGTTAGAAAGAAAGATGGATAGATTTGTTAGAAAGAAAGATGGATAGATTAGTTAGAAAGAAAGATGGATAGATTTGTTAGAAAGAAAGATGGATAGATTAGTTAGAAAGAAAGATGGATAGATTAGTTAGAAAGAAAGATGGATAGATTAGTTAGAAAAAAAGATGGATAGATTTGCTAGAAAGAAAGATGGATAGATTTGTTAGAAAGAAAGATGGATAGATCAGTTAGAAAGAAAAATGGATAGATTAGTTAGGTAGAAAGAAAGATGGATAGATTATGTAGAAAGAAAGATGGATAGATTAGGTAGAAAGAAAGATGGATAGATTTGTTAGAAAGAAAGATGGATAGATTAGTTAGAAAGAAAGATGGATAGATTAGTTAGAAAGAAAGATGGATAGATTTGTTAGAAAGAAAGATGGATAGATTAGTTAGAAAGAAAGATGGATAGATTTGTTAGAAAGAAAGATGGATAGATTAGTTAGAAAGAAAGATGGATAGATTAGTTAGGTAGAAAGAAAGATGGATAGATTTGTTAGAAAGAAAGATGGATAGATTTGTTAGAAAGAAAGATGGATAGATTAGTTAGAAAGAAAGATGGATAGATTAGTTAGGTAGAAAGAAAAATGGATAGATTTGTTAGAAAGAAAGATGGATAGATTAGTTAGGTAGAAAGAAAGATGGATAGATTTGTTAGAAAGAAAGATGGATAGATTAGTTAGAAAGAAAGAACGATAGATTAGTTAGAAAGAAAGATGGATAGATTAGTTAGGTAGAAAGAAAGATGGATAGATTAGTTAGAAAGAAAGATGGATAGATTTGTTAGAAAGAAAGATGGATAGATTAGTTAGAAAGAAAGAACGATAGATTAGTTAGAAAGAAATATGGATAGATTAGTTAGAAAGAAAGATGGATAGATTAGGTAGAAAGAAAGATGGATAGATTAGTTTGAAAGAAAGATGGATAGATTTGTTAGAAAGAAAGATGGATAGATTAGTTAGAAAGAAAGATGGATAGATTAGGTAGAAAGAAAGATGGATAGATTTGTTAGAAATAAAGATGTATAGATTTGTTAGAAAGAAAGATGGATAGATTTGTTAGAAAGAAAGATGGATAGATTAGTTAGGTAGAAAGAAAGATGGATAGATTAGGTAGAAAGAAAGATGGATAGATTTGTTAGAAAGAAAGATGGATAGATTTGTTAGAAAGAAAGATGGATAGATTTGTTAGAAAGAAAGATGGATAGATTTGGTAGAAAGAAAGATGGATAGATTAGTTAGAAAGAAAGATGGATAGATTAGTTAGAAAGAAAGATGGATAGATTAGTTAGGTAGAAGAAAGATGGATAGATTAGGTAGAAAGAAAGATGGATAGATTTGTTAGAAAGAAAGATGGATAGATTAGTTAGAAAGAAAGATGGATAGATTAGTTAGATAGATAGATAGATAGATAGATAGATAGATAGATAGATAGATAGACAGACAGATAGATAGATAGATAGATAGATAGATAGATAGATAGATAGATAGATAGATAGATAGATAGATAGATAGATAGATAGATAGATAGATAGTTCATTAGTTCATATAGAATGGTAGTTTAATTGAGTCTAGGGCTTCAGGGAATTTAGATTTGAGTTTTTGTTGTACGCTATTGGGCCACCGTAGTCTTGGCTCAATTTGACCATGCTGCAATGAAAGTCAATGGGATTTTTATGATTTTTAATATTAATTTTTAAGAAATCTGAAAGTCGAATCAGTCTAAAAAGATATAGCACACTAAGTCAGAACAGTCTGAAGGTCTGACCCGAGTTTGGAGTTTGTAGAGTTAAAGCTCTAGGAGGAGTTAGAGTCAGAAAATTTTGAGTAAGAAGAATAATAATAACTAGAATGTACATTTCCAGAGGAAAATGTGAAGTGGTGCTTGCAGTGGCAAAAAGCTCGCTCGGTTG